TGTCATAATTTAACATGTTTTGCTATATTTTAGAAAGGTTTTATTTTGCCTTTTTCTTTCTCTACTTTTGACTTTGTACCGAGAGCCAAAGCATTTTCCGAGTCTGTGACTTCTGTTTCCAAAAGAAACAAAGTATCATGATCTTATGGAAAACAATCAATGTAGCGATTTAGTCGACCCAAGCATTGTTTAACTGTTGCTTACTGAGCTAAGGAGCGCGTGAAGGAGCAGGAGTCAGGACGTAAGTGCATACAGGAGAAGGCGCAGCAGGAGCAGGAGAGCAGGAGAGGAGGCAGGAGAGGAGAGAGCAGGAGCGGAGCAGGATAGGGGCAGGAGATGATGAGGAGCAGGAGAGGAGCAGGAGAGGAGAGGAGCAGGAGAGGAGAGGAGCAGGAGAGGAGCAGGAGAGGAGGTGAGGAGCAGGAGAGGAGCAGGTAGTGAGCAGGAGGGAGCAGGAGAGGAGAGCAGAGGAGGAGCAGAGAGGAGCAGGAGAGGAGGTGAGGAGCAGGAGAGGAGCAGGAGAGGAGCAGGAGAGGAGCAGGAGAGGAGCAGGAGAGGAGCAGGAGAGGAGCAGGAGAGGAGAGGAGCAGGAGAGGAGGTGAGGAGCAGGAGAGGAGCAGGAGGTGAGCAGGAGAGGAGCAGGAGAGGAGCAGGAGAGGAGAGGCAGGAGAGGAGAGAGAGGAGCAGGAGGAGGAGAGGAGAGAGAGGAGAGGAGAGGAGAGGAGAGGAGCAGGAGAGGAGCAGGAGAGGAGAGGAGGAGAGAGGAGCAGGAGGAGGAGAGAGAGGAGGAGAGGAGGAGGAGAGGAGAGGAGCAGGAGAGGAGCAGGAGAGGAGAGGAGAGGAGCAGAGAGAGGAGCAGAGAGAGGAGCAGGAGAGGAGAGGAGAGGAGGCAGGAGAGGAGCAGAGAGGAGGCAGAGGAGGAGGAGCAGGAGAGGAGGCAGGAGAGGAGCAGGAGAGGAGAGAGAGGAGCAGGAGAGGAGGAGAGAGGAGCAGGAGAGGAGCAGAGAGGAGGAGGAGAGGAGAGGAGCAGGAGAGGAGGAGAGGAGAGGAGCAGGAGAGGAGCAGGAGAGGAGCAGGAGAGGAGAGAGAGGAGCAGGAGAGGAGAGGAGGCAGGAGAGGAGAGAGAGGAGCAGGAGGGAGAGGAGGAGAGAGGGAGGAGCAGGAGAGGAGAGGAGGCAGAGAGAGGAGAGGGAGGCAGAGAGAGGAGGAGAGGAGCAGGAGGGAGGAGAGAGGAGCAGGAGAGGAGAGAGAGGAGAGGAGGCAGGAGAGGAGAGGAGGAGAGGAGAGGAGCAGGAGAGGAGGAGAGGAGAGGAGAGGAGAGGAGCAGAGAGGAGGAGAGGAGAGGAGGAGAGGAGCAGAGGGAGGCAGAGAGGAGCAGGAGAGGAGGAGGAGAGGAGAGGAGAGGAGAGAGAGGAGCAGGAGAGGAGGCAGAGGAGGGAGAGAGAGGAGAGGAGGCAGGAGAGGAGCAGGAGAGGAGCAGGAGAGGAGGCAGAGAGGAGGCAGGAGAGGAGAGGAGCAGGAGAGGAGCAGGAGAGGAGAGGAGGAGGAGAGGAGAGGAGAGGAGCAGGAGAGGAGCAGGAGAGGAGAGGAGAGGAGCAGGAGAGAGGAGCAGGAGAGGGCAGGAGAGGGCAGGAGGAGAGGAGAGGGAGGCAGGAGAGGAGCAGGAGAGGAGGAGAGAGAGGAGAGAGAGGAGGAGAGGAGGAGCAGGAGAGGAGCAGGAGGAGAGAGAGGAGGGAGGAGGGAGAGAGAGGAGCAGGAGAGGAGGAGGGAGAGGAGAGGAGGCAGAGAGGAGGCAGGAGAGGAGAGGAGAGGAGAGGAGAGGAGAGGGAGGAGAGGAGGAGGAGAGGAGAGGAGCAGGAGGAGGCAGGAGAGGAGAGGGAGGAGAGGAGGAGGAGGGAGGAGGCAGGAGAGGAGGAGAGAGGAGAGGAGGAGAGGAGGAGAGGAGAGGAGGCAGAGAGGAGGGAGGAGAGGAGGAGAGGAGCAGAGAGGAGGAGAGGGAGGAGAGGAGGCAGGAGAGGAGGAGGAGAGGAGAGGAGAGGAGAGGAGAGGAGGAGAGGAGGAGAGGAGGGCAGGAGAGGAGAGAGGAGGCAGGAGAGGAGGAGAGGAGAGGAGAGGGAGGAGAGGAGCAGGAGGGAGGAGAGGGAGAGGAGGAGGGAGAGGAGGAGAGAGGGAGGAGGAGGAGAGGAGCAGGAGAGGAGAGGAGAGGAGAGGAGGAGGAGAGGAGCAGAGAGGAGGAGGAGGAGAGGGAGGCAGAGGAGGAGAGGAGGAGAGGAGGGAGGAGAGGAGGGAGGAGAGGGAGAGGAGGGAGAGGAGGCAGGAGAGGCAGAGAGAGGCAGAGGAGAGGAGAGGAGAGGAGCAGGAGAGGAGAGGAGAGGCAGAGGGAGGAGAGGAGAGGAGGAGGAGGAGCAGAGGGAGCAGGAGGGAGGAGAGGAGAGGAGAGGAGGAGAGGAGAGGAGGAGAGAGGAGGAGAGGAGAGGAGGGAGGAGGAGAGAGAGGAGAGGAGGAGAGAGAGGAGGAGGAGCAGGAGAGGAGGCAGGAGAGGAGCAGGAGAGGAGAGGAGAGGAGAGAGAGG